ATCTAGAGAATGGGTCAGTCGTAGATATCATTACATGCACTTACACAAAACCATACAAATGGGATAGGATAAGATGACAGTTTTAAAATATACTGTAACAACAGGGTGGAAGAAGGCATTCATAACGGAAGCTTTGATTGTCAAATCAGGTCGAAACACGTGTAATAGGAATGATTCAACACCTGTACACCAAAGACTTCGTGAAAATTCTATCACCTCTACGATGACGAATAGAAAGAAATGAAGAAAACTATAAAACGGAACTTTCAAAGTTGTGTAGTGATAATTGATGCGATTATGAATAGGGATAAATTATATTCTAAACCTTATTATCCAGTATATAATTCTGTATCACTGACAGTGCGATATGTCTAATAAACAAATTAATATGGATTTAAATACCACCACAGAGCCCCAGGTTTATTCATATATTAACAATGATACCACATTATACTCCAAATCTGATCTCAGCCAAGGGTTCATCAGTTTTCCAATAGTTGCTGATCTTTTCATGAATAGATTCGAAGCTAACATCTTTTCAACCATACTCACTTCTAATATATGGTTAAGATATGTAGATGATACTTTTACAGGGCTAAAACGAGATTTACACAGTTCATTCTTGGAGAAAATAAACAGTCTATCTTAGAGAATCCAGTTTACTTCAGAAGCAGAATCAGATGGTGATGAACTACCATATCTAGACTGGATTCCTAGTTAAGAGGAGAGATAACGGACATTTTAGTATGTCTATATTCAGGAAGAAAACCCACTCAAACAGCGAGTAGTTAGACTTCGGATCATCAATCACCCGCCAGCGCAAAGGTTCAGTTGTTTTGTCTTCTTAGACAAACACACTCTTTGATAGAAGATGAGAAGGAACAAGACGAAGAAATGTCAAATATTAGTGAGACTCTCAAGCATGATATATACCCAAGGAACTACATTACCAACATGAATACCGACCTTAAACATAATCGAAAACGTAATCCTAAGAAATGCGCCTCAACATTTGTCATTCTTTATAGATCAAAGACATCAAACGGTACCAGAAGAGTATCAAATAAGCACAAAATCAGAGTTTTCTTCAAGACATCAGACACACAACAAAGAAGCCTTGTCCAAATGAAAGACCGTACCCTTAATCTAAATGTGTCTATACAAAATGCTTCGAATGTTATCCGATATACATTGGACAAACATCGCGAGATATCGAAATCAGAAAAAAATGAACACAGTGGAGTATTCGTGCGACTACCGAGAAATCCAGTTGAACTAGTAAAGCTCTTAAAATTATCAGCCATAGGTCTACACGCTATAAAATCAGTGCACAAAAATTGATTCTGACAATATTGAAATCATCATTCAGAAAAATTTCAGAAATCACAAAGAACATATAACATCAGAAGCACTTCATATCAAATGGAATCTAAATTGTCTGAATAGTGATGATGGACTAAAATAGAATTTAACCTGGTTAGATAACCTCCCTCCACACCCATGAAATGGCAAAATTAACATGAATGTGATAAGCAGTTACACTATGTAAACAAACATTTATCAAATCCAACATCTGGTTTTGTTATCTTTATACCGATTGGTCAACTTGACAACTCAAAAATGCCCCCATGTTGAGGAACGATGATTTAGTTTTTAAACATAAGCTAAGACTTTGTAAGTTCTGGTTTTACACTACTCTGATAAAGCTATTGGCAGTAAATAGCGTAGAGTCAGTAAAAATATATCGTTTTTTTTTATTCATTCATTGAGAAATACAAAAAAGCCTCTATAGTAATGAAAATCTGGTCTTTCTTTCTTTCTCTATTTATTGAAACTTATTAAGGGAACAAAATGTGTGAAATCGTTTTTGTCATATGTAGGGGAAAACCAAGTCAATATGCTACCAAACGAATGTACATTGAAACGAAGTGATATATAGCAGAAACCCGCAAATGCCTACAAGTATATGGAATTCACTTTTAGTGTTTTAAATTATTCCTCTGATGGCGTTGTAAAATTACAGCATTGCATAATTTCACAATGGCGTTTCTTCTATCCCAACCCGTTTTTTTAACATAAATAATCTACCCAAATTTATCTAAATCATAGAACGTTCTGTGTTAAATTTAAAAATGTTCAAGGTAAATGTACACTCTAACAACTCAGTGATATTCTGTTTAGAGATATAAAGTCGAAAGAAATGGGGGCTAATACACACTGCATAGTGAAATGTCAGAAATATGAACTAGTACAACTGTTGTCTTATTGACATAACTATTTAAAATTGACATTATACAAGGATAAGAATTTTGTGAAATTGTGGTTTGACATTTATACAATTGAAAGAGTGTTAAAAATCTACTATGTTGATTCTTTTGAAAAAAGCATTGTGTCAGAATTTCATTTAGGGAGGGAAAAAACACCTAATCGCCACTGAACAATAAATGTTGGCATATTTCAGGCGGTGTGACAGATGATGGACAGAAGATTATCATTTAGAAAATGAATATTTAGCTCTGAGTAAAGCTACGATTGTAGGAGCCAAAAACCGACTGATTGTGGTTTGAATGTAGGGAACCGATAACTACTTCCTCTTACATAGCTACCTGAGACTTCATTGAGACACATGCAGTCACAGAAAGTTCCAAAGACAGCAAAAAGAAGATTATTTGTCGATAGATTTATGCGGTCCTATTCAACAATAATAACGTCGAAAATTCAAAATTACCTGAGTAATGTTGTTAGGCAGCACTGCGGACAAGAGAACTTTCAATAAATAAAACAGATTGGGTTAGATACACCGGGGCCTCACACACCAATGCTTTCTGCAGACACTCATTGGTTGGAATGACCTTAATTCACTGAAACACAATCGCCTGGTAAAATGACACATTACTGATGTATCGCGCAATCACAAATGAGAAGCATTAAATTCAGAGAATAAACAGTGACAAAGTTACTTTTAAACATAACATTTTGAAGTTTTACAGAATAGATCCTGGTTATAAGTATCATTTGACTGAGAAAAGGCTCTCTAATGTAACCGATGATGATATTGCAAATTGTGATGGACTTGGTCACGTGGCAGAAGGTTCGTAGGGAGCGAGAAGAGAGGAATACTTTGGACCAATAAGAACATTCTAGAAGATCAAGGCTGATTTGTACCTAACGGCATACAAACTCGAGGACTTACAGGTGAAAACCAACAAGTTGTTAGAAAGGGTTAGCTGCAAAGACGGGACTTGATGTGAAACTAGAGAGGAATGAATTGATGAAAATAACCGAAACGGTAAAACTCCCTAATCACTATGATCGGAAGAAATGTGATCGAAGTGACTCCTTTCAATTTTCCAGGCTACATTATTCCAACTACAGACGACATGTATGTCTCAAATCGTAGCTCATGAAAATCCTTTCCAAAAACTGCCGGTTGACTTCTCCAAGCAGCTTGCCTCGTTCTATTCTGGAGACTGAATGGCTGGCAAGAAAGAATTAACAAGAAGAAACTCTGGGAACCAAGCAATCAAAGACAAGCTGCTCTACAAATGTGTAGAAGAAAATTGAGATGGAATGGACAAACACCGAGGAGACTAGTACATGACATCGTGCAGCAGGCCATCACTTAAGTGGCTTTCAGGGTGATCAGAGTCCACCCACCCTGCCTTTTCAATCTTGGCTGGTTTCTAAATCCTCATCTGTGCCTTCGCCTGTAGTTGAGACAACGCTGCTTGTACAGATAAGTGAAGGAAATGAACTCTATGAAATTTATTCCGTTGATAGTGTATGGTGCTTGTTGTTGTTAACGTCGGTTGGTTGGTTATCTTCATTAACCCTGTCTTCTTAATGTTCACCTGAATTTCTGTATGCTCTACCTGCCTCTTTTGCCAAGTTGTTGGTTTTCTTCCCGTAAGTCTTCTGGTTTGCGCAAAATTAAGCATAAATCGTCCACGAATTCAAAATCTTCCAGATTTTTCTTATCAGTACTGTCTTCTCGCCTCCCACATATGGTGTTATCCAACTCGTCGAGGGTGAAAGCAGGTAACCTGGTCTTACTCCTATCTTGACTTCAAAGATTTGGCTCGAGCAACTATGTACTAATGACTGGCTGACACCAGTAGTTCTATAACAGTCATGTTAACAAGTAGCGCTTGCTATTCAGATAAAGGTGATCTAAATATTCGACGGCCATTTCTCTTGTTTGCGAGTTTGTGAGACAACTTCTTCAAATCTTTCTTAATGTTGTTTAATCCTTGTCTCACTACATTATTCTGCTTTAATTGAAGGAATGAAATACGAAGACTTTCTGTAAAATGTACACAGGATTTTCGTATGTGCGCATGTGTGTTCTTCTTTCTGTTTATGTCTCCATGAATTTTAGTCTTACCTACTACAAACTGCTCCCTAAAACTGAATACCCAAGATTCTACTAAAGTACGATAATGCTACAGCAAACTGTAAAACTAACAGGTATAAGCAAAACTTTTCGAAAAAAACCACCAACGAATCTTTGATTAATGTGCATGTATGACTTATGTGTTAGTGTTGTAAATGACAGTTAACATAAACAAATTCTTTATTTAAGTGTAGGAAACTGTGTTAAAGTGATACATTTTAAGAGGCAATTCATCATTTTCGGCTATTGTCCTGTAGAGAACTAATTAAATACACACCTATTTTAATACAGGTGGGTAGGATCCAATAGCTAGTATCATTATTTATTATTCCCTTGGATAGGGCCCAGTGGCTTAATATTGTACACGCTTGCCACCTTGTGACCAGAATATCCTGATCTCGACCCCCACCTGTATGTGTGTACTGTTTAAGGGTCTGCAACTAGGATGAGACAGCTGTCTAGCACTCCCAGGTGCTTTCCCTATAGTTCTTTAGTCGATATAACCTCATCATGAAATCTTGTAAGCAGATTAATAATTTTGCTCAGCTATATTTGCCTGTAATTAAAAGAATTTCTGCATGATATGTCTTTTTTTTCTTATTTCTAGGATAAGTATGTTCTAATGTCGTTATTCATCTGTGCATTATCAGTGTATGGCATGCAGTTGTCACACTGATTGGACTGGACTTTGACCTTCCAGATTCAGCTGGAGGGTTTTCATCTAGTCTATCTGATACACAGTCTACAGCAACACCACTGCCAACATCAGCATCTGTGAATACAACATATCCAGGACCTAGAATAGTCTTCCCCTATATGAATGCACCACCTTCATCCATATCCTTATCATCATCTCCCTCAACTAATTCTGAGTTTAACAGCACTTCTGATCGTTACCCGATGAACATATCAAATTATGGTAGGTTGAGTTTTAAGATTTACATCACAATTGCTAAAGTTTCTTATTAGTTTATGGATTGTATGTCCGACCACTGAAGTTAAGCAACACTGGGCCCGGTTAGTGCTTGCATGGTTCACTGACTGGGAGTATGGGGTGTTGCCCGCCTTTTTCGCACTTGCTTTAACAGTACAAATTGTAAATTGGAACGGTACAGAGAAGATTGGTATAGGCCACGAGCAACGATGATAAGCAAAATGGTGAAGCGTTCCATATTTTTTATCCAGCGCTGGAACACGGAGGGAGAGGGCTCTAGAGTGGTTGCGTTGGTCGTTTTCGAACCAGGTTCTACTCCAGTGATAGGCTGATGCGTGATATCACTCAACGGTCTCCTCAACAAGTGTCTGACCCATGTTGATTTCTGTCAGCATACTTGTTGAGTTGCGTTGGTGGCACAGCGGTTAGGACGCTCGCCGACCATGCACATGGTCTGGGGTTCGAACCCAGGCCACTGACGCACTCCTTTACCTTGATGAGCCAGAAATAATGCTGGTAAAGAGGAAAGGTTGGCCATGAGGCTAGCAACCCCATCCTGTAAAATAAACACCACTGCTACAGAAACTTCAAGCCTCTAGCTTGAAGCCCTATGTTCCATTGGGGAACGTGAAGGAAAAAAAATACTTGTTGTGCACAGCCTCATGTATATTATCCTCTCTGATCTTGACCATGGAGTAGGTGCAGGTATCTCTTGATAGAAGTCTGTAGCCTGTTGGAAAAGATTTCCGTGACGCATTAGCCAAGTTTGAAAGATATAGAAGCAATGATTTTACATTAATGTTTATAATTCGAATTCGGTTCATTATTATTTCGCGAGAATGATTCCGGATTAATGAAGGTCCTTGCAAACCTGTGACACCATCATCTCTAGCACCTGTAGTTGAAGCTGTCATGTTTCGATATGTGAAAGAAGTGACCTCTTTTAAATTTCTTCCATTTATGGTGATGCATGCTTTGATTGGCTTGTTTTCTTCATCACCTCCGTGTTTTCCATGTTCACATGAATTCACTTCTTTACTGCCTCCTCTGCCTACAAATGTTCGAGTTTTTGTGATATTAGGCATGAGCCATCCGCGAAATCCAGATCTTCTAATGTCTTCTTACAGGTTCAGTGTATTTATTTATATCTTCTAGCTCCCCAAGTATGGTGTTCTGCATAGTCCAGCCGACGACAATTAGTAATATCATCTATGATAGAAGGCAGCCTTGTCCTACTCCTCTATTCATCTCAAATTATTCGCTAAGTTTTCCTTTGCAGAGCATAACTTTATGCGTGGAATTGTCATGCAGCTGTTGAATGGGGTTGATAAACATTTGGTTCACTGCAATCCGTAGTGCTGAGATAGTTTTGAAAGTAACATTTCATCCAGGGTTGTCGACAGCGTTACCTATCCAAAGTCGCTAAGACTGAGGGAGAAGTTTGACTATCATTCAAAACTCTGTCTGACGATGATGAGTAGAGTCGCGACCTAGTCTGCATACGCTTAACATTACCTGAATCCATGAAATCAAGAATTAATAAAAGACATTTACACTGAATATCCAAAAACATTTCGTAACTCAAAGACTGTGTAGAATATTTAAAGGGATTCCATAATGAATTGAAACAAGAGATTCGGCGAAGAAAGTCTATTCAACGAATTTATTATCGAGCTGTACAATCGCATATATATCATTTTTTTTAGAAATTATATCTGGTGAGGCAAGTGAATCAAAGGTGTCAATGCATAAAATAATAATGGTATGAAATGCAACTAAAATATTTGTGGTAAATGATTTTAGTTAAATGTCAAGTGGCAAAGCAAATTCATGTCATATACAGAATAATTCATAGGATGGATAGAATTTGAAAAAGGGTGTGCAGTTATAGGATTAGTAGACGAATCGAATAAAACAAAAACGTTACGTAATATTGTGTGAAATTTAATAGCATAGAATTTATCGTTGTAAAAAAGAATTGATTTAGAATGACAAGTGGAACAATTGAAATAATAACGGGGGACAGTTCAAAGTGAGAATAGTAATAGTAACAATTGACGTAATAAGGAAGAGTACGCAAATTGAACAGACAAAAAGAAAAATTGGTAGAGCTAAAATATGATTGGGGATTACCATACTTTAGGATAGAGGGATTAAGATTATGAAAGTTGGAGGGGTTGGACGAACTTTTTCTGCACATAGAGATCTGGCTTTTCTGTTTCGATAGCCAAAACTTCAGCAATGCAGGTGAGTAGGGTACCTTGGGGATTTCGGTAAATTGTTTTTTGCCTTGGAAATGGCATTAAAGGCGGAAGCTATAGAGATATGGTGATCTTTATCGACCAGACGTTCAGTGTTTCTGCTGCTTATCGCCCCACTCCCACCTTTTCGTAGCCATGCAGGATAGTGCTCTTGCACCCTCTTGAAAAAACTCGAGTCAAACAACTGATATACCTAGCTCCACACGAGCAGGTGAATTGATGGACGCACATAGAGTTGGTCAGCTGCGCAATCTTGTCCTTCAGGTTATTGAACAGTAATGTTCTAATGGTAAAGACTGTTCTCGAAGATGCAGCGAGGAATTCCATAATCTGCTTTAACCGTTTAGTTTTTCTCATTTCAGTGGCGACAATAACCTCCCATAATTTTTTTCACTGTGGAAATGTAGGAGTTATTATTGTCGTTCGTTGGAATCATACTTCTAAAATAAACAATGTGTGCTGAAGAACAAGGCAGACAGAATGATTATATAGTCGCCATGACAAAATTTAAACAAACATCTGTACCACTCACATGCAGTAAACGAAAAGATTCGAATAAGGCTACCATCAAATGTGTTGAAATTTCATGCGTTAAAATATATTTCGAAACTACCACATTTTAAAGTGTAAATTTTTCGGATATAGTATAGCCTCGTTTAGATTACTGTTATTTGAATTTCATTTCTCTCCATTTAGATCCTGTAAATAAATTTCCGTCAACAGACACCATAAATACATCAAATGGATTACAGCCAAATTACAATTCGTCCTCTATCACATCACCTGTTTCTTTATCACAGAATTCCACATCTTCTATGTATAATCAAATACAGAATGATTCCACTCCGTCGTTAGCTGCTGTCAATCAAACTTTCAGTTCCTTGTTAAGAGAACAAAACAGCGGTTGTAGTCGTAGTAATCGTATAGCCTGTTCTGACTGGAAAATGGTACAACAAATTGAACAGCACGTATTCACATCATTTGTTACAATATATATATTGGCACACGCTATCTTCATATTTTGGCTTTATTTCGATGTAAGTGGTAAAAACAATAGATCATTTAATATAATCATTAATTTCGTTTTTATTTATTTAACTTGATGTTGATTAGTTGGAAGTTTGATCATTCAGAAAATCAGTAAAAACTAGCTGGAAGTACTGGACAACTTATTCCCCCCCCGTTGAGGACTTATCGGCGGTAATCACCCTCTATCTTCTGATTACAAAGCCAGGCGTATCAACCATGGAGAAACTTGGAACAGAATCCAAAGAGTCACGAATTGAATTTGTGTTAAAGAGTTTAGCACGAACACCAACCAGTATCACTGGCGAGTATTTGACCTAGTGGCCAGCTAACTTCTACACCATTTTAAAAGTTTTAAAGGATATCCATTTTTGACAAGAATACCCATCAGTACTTTATTTTCATACTGTATAACATTTTCACCTATACAAATAACCTGAATCCTCTTGAATAAACACTTCACCAAGCCTCTCCTATACTGTACCAGACAAAAGCTGTGAAAATTTAAGTTTTGCCTTGTCCAAGTAGGGTTTCTGTAAATTATTCGAATAATTTAACCATCTCCTCTGATCTGATCATAAACTTGAAGTCTGTAAGAAGGTAACTTCCTCTAGTTTGATTAAGGGTTGATATCAGTTAGAGAACCATTGAAAACCAGAGGGTACTGCACAGCTGTTTCATCCTAGTTTTGGAATCATTTGAAGTACGCACCCAGTGGGATTCATACCCAGGACCTTCCGGTTACATGGCTAGCTGGTATATCATTCACCCATTGGGACCCGATTCAATGACCAGTCCATGATTTTTAACTTCTACCAATTCGTGATATTTACCGTAACCACCACCCAGTGCCATCGGAAAGAAATCCATCCTCACACTTGACTGGATGGACCTTACTGGTCGCGAATTATCACCAGAACTCCAGGAAACTCCGTTCTACAACAAGTCACTAGCGAGCATCAAATTAATTTTCACAGATTGATTTGTGGGTAAGTACTGTCGATGATTCTTAAACTAGGATGAAACAGGTGTCCAGGACTCCCTGATACTCATTGGTTCTCCAACTGACACCAATCCGTGATCAACTCGTAAAAACAAAATTAATCCTTACAAACCAACTATAGAAAAGTAAATGTTTCTGTCAAACCTTTCAAAATGAACAATCTTAACGTTTGTGAATTTCATTTAACTTATTAACGAACTAATCATTAGGGATACTGTACTTCCATAATTTTTTTTCCATTTTTAATACACGACATTGAAAATACTGTCGGCAGATGTATATTTATCTACAACAAAATGTCTAAAAGTAATTAGTCTTTAACAGAGAAGCAAATAACAAAAAAAACTACTCGTACACACACACACACCATTTACATATGCTGTCCGCCATAGTTATAAGACAAGCAAAATTTGAGACATAAACCTGTACATGTATGATAGATAATAAAGTGCACCTAGCGGCAGTAATTATAACATACAATTAATCCTTCAAATAGTGTACATGTATGCAAATATGATAATTATTTAAACATCTGTACTAACTAACCAACTGATTAGCTAACTGACTAACTGACTAACTTTGCCTACTTTTGATTTCAAATTAATACATGTAGTTCCATTTTATTGTATAAACGAATTAAGAGCAATTAGAGAATGGAATTAAGATAAAAAGAAAGTTTCGGAAGAAGTATTTTTTTAAAAATGTATGATTTACATAACTTACAGGCCGAAATCAGCAAGTTGACAAAACAAGTACCCGCATGAAGTCAACGTAGAGGAAATGGGAGTGATGAAGAACACCAACCAGCAATAATAACCAGCACCAATCACTACCATCGGAAGCGTCATTTCATTGCACTCCATGTTGACCGTTGAATGGAATCTGAATGGGAAAGGAATTGGGCGTTGATCCATGCCTGCCATAGAGGAGATCGTGTGAGAAAGAGGTGAAACCTTATGGACAGTTGTGTGGCCAGCTGAAGAAGATTGAAGAGAACAGGGTGTGGTGAAGAATTTATGTCTAGGCCATATGTCCCACTGAAAACCAAAGGATCCTGTCTAAGATAGACTGAAATCATCAGAGAGCAACTCAGTCAATGAGGCTGTGAAGAATTTATATATTTTGAGATAGCTTGAACAAGTGTTACGCCTGCCACGTCATCGCCTCCCATGTCTAGCTTTGCTGGTTGACATACCGATCGTTTGGAAAATAGTTACGGATGCTCAAATCAATCCTCGATCTGTCTTGCTACTATCTACGTCCACGTTAGGAAGATGCAGGTTTTGCCAAGGCGCTAAAAATTAATGATTGGAGAATGTTAGTGAGAATAGCTCAGATAAATTCAATGTTCACGAGCTCTCATAATCTACGAATTAAGTAGAGGAAGTAGAATATGAAGACTGTGCTCCGCTTAAAAACATTATTTTCCCATACCGAAAGCCTTAAAAAGTAATATACAGTGGACAGCTGTATCGTTCAGTTTAGTAATACATTATTACCGAGATGTTTCTGATGTACAGAGAATAGAATATCGGAAATTGAAGTTATGAGACCAGCTTTTGACTGATCACTTCGTTTACTGGAATTCAGATTACACATTTAATGATAATTTGCAATGAGTTCTTAAGTTTAGAAACTGATATACAAAAGTATACACCTAAGCACTTGATTTGGTAGACCCTACAGGAAGCGAATTTTTACCATAACCTACAGAATACCATTGTGAGTTTAGCTGTTTTTAACTCAACCGTGCAGTCTAAAACTCCCTACTTGGTTGGCTTAAATAGTTCCATTGGTTTCGTTTGACCACCCATGTCTCTTTTCCAACCTGATCCTATGTCATCTAACATTGTCCATCAAGGAAAGCGTTGCTTAGACATGCGTAACACATGTTCTAATCAACTCGATCAATGTAGCTTCACAACCACGTCAACTGACTTTTCTTCCTTACCTAGCACTCAACCGAAGCCTAACCTCAACATTACTCACCCTATTATACCGCCTAACATAGGAGATTGAACGGTGACACTTGTGATCAGAGATAGCTAGTCTTTTCATATCTTTTACTTTTTTGATGACCATGCCTCACAGCCACAGAGAAGAGTAGGACCTAATTAGGTGTACATCAAAAAAATCAGTTGAAAAAACAATGACGTATCACTTGAATTTTATATATATGTATCCAAAACATCACGTGAAATGGTCGAAAAATGGTCATTCTAATAGCTTTTATAATCTGTCCGCCTGAAAATAAAATCAAATAAGGAGTAAGTCGAAAATCTCCTATCTCGACATCCATTCCTCTTCATATCTGTACTGGTAATCTCATATCCAAATTGTGAAAACGTTTGCTATGATTATGAGGAATAATTTATGCTCGAAATGTCATGCAGGCGTTAATACTGCATCACTGTGTCATAATTAAAGTAGTTATCTAATATGGAATGACACTTTACTCCAATGCCAAAGTTCTACACTTATATCTAAGAAAATTGTTCGTTTGACCCATTACAAAGGGCAGTTGAGAATTTCTACTGGCGTCAGTCAACGTTTTCTCTCAAATTTGATTAATTCATGACTTTTGTACATTCCTCTTTATTGTTCCACCTCATTCTCCCTTTGAGGTGTTTAAAGATGACTAGGCCATACATATTACGTCTGAAATTGAAGGTTGTAAGCACGGTTAGTGATGTATATGCCTTTGACTCAGCTGACTGGCACAGATGCTGATAGCATTTCAATTCTTGCAAGCAGCTAGCTGAAGTTCTCTAGTCTGACACCGAAAATCCTCTCCAGTTATTCGCAGCTTTTCCTTGTATCTTTTCGTGCAAAGCCAGAGGAAGTTTCATGGGAATTTATGCTCGTACAGCGTAGGTGGCACACTGGTTAGAAGTCTCACTGACCATGCACATGGTCTGGAGTTCGAGCCCCCGATATCAATGGTGTGCCTGTAAAAATTTGGGCTACCAGTATCATATGCTGAAAATTCCAGACTTGTATAAAAAAACGGTGTGGAGTCAAGCTATAATCGAAATGAAAAAATAAAAATAAATAAATACAAAAATTCTACCGTACCATATTTAGCATGAGTATTGTGTGAAGAGACAGTCAGTTGTCAAATATCAGCTTAGAAACGATTTAAATCAGTAAATGAACAGCAAATTATAACCAGAATTATCACTGCACAATTGCTCATTTTTTATATTATTCATTATACATTTCAACAACTTTCACTTTTTGTGGTTTTATAATATTCAAAGAAGGAACTAAATAGTTGGAATATCTTTAGAAAGCCTGGGAATTCCATTCTGTATAATGGTTATTGTTGTTTAGAATAAAGTGATCATATCATTATTGTATAGTTATATGAGAAAAGACTATTTTACATCTATTGACCAAGATGAAAGAAACAGTCTTGACCATCAGTCATTGTCATCAACTTCATCATTATGAAGTGTAAATAAAAAGTGATTTTGAATTTCTCCTTGATCGGTTATACTGGAGCGAAATTTGTGGGTGATTTGTCAACTCTTAGTGAGGATGTTTCTACAAATTGGCAACTCACGACTCACACTGCATTCTATTTTAGTCTTGTTAGCTAGATTTACCTAGGTCTTCAGAGAGTAATAGCACTCCATGGTCTGTGCGTCGGTGGCACAGTAGTTAGGACTCTCGCCGACGATGCACATGGTCCGAGATTCGAGCCCACGCCGGCACACACCTGATATCTATGATCGGCCTGCAAAATTTGGGCTACCGATATCCATGCTGAAAATTCCATACTTGTACCAAAAATACGGTGTGGAATCAAGCTGTAATCAAAAATAAAAATAAAAAATAAATAAATAAAATAAAACCAACTAACCCTTACAAACCAAACTATAGAAAAACCAACATGTCTGAAAGGATCCAACATTTTTGTCCGATATACTTGATCATGGAGAGGCTCCCATCAACTTCAACAAAAGATGGCTCTCGTTGCCCAATGGATGTCGTTTCGGTGTTTGTTGAAACGGCACGTGGTGGGCATGAGTCTCAGTTTGTGAGTGTAACCAGATTCATTTGATCAATTCCGAATAGAACGGAATGCATCTCCTCAATTTCACCACTTTTCACTACATGTCAAGTGATAAGTTGATTCTTTCAAGATTTAAATTATGATAATGATGACGCCGTCCAATGGATATCGTACCAATGTTTGATATTGCTTTTAACTAGTGAACATCACAACCTATTTTAACCGGTTATACATTGAAATCAATTTAGTTAATTATTTAATTCAATTTGGCCATTCCCGTTGAACAATGGAGTTGAAGTGTTTGGCCTGTGTTGACAGGACAGCTCTAAATTACGTGACTTAAAACCGTCAGACGTCATCGAAGCATCCTCACAAGGATGCAGTATGTCAACAGATGCCAAACACTTCTGTCAAATCAATCAATGGGAAGTTTCAAACTGAATTAAATAATAAATGGTAACTTCTGCACAAGATGTGACTGTCGTGGCTCAAGTGGTCTAGTGGCTAACTCTTTGGAGTTTGAAAAGATGGATAGTAGGTTCAAGTCTCAGTGGGAATGCCATCACGAACTCACTGGGGAATGCAGTTAGGTACATCCAGTTGGAGCGTCCTGAATGGGACACAATTTACATCCCGGATTCCACTTCCGGTCACCATCAACTAAAGGACGTTGCTTATTTTCCACTCACTATACAACACAAAAACTGATGTAATAAAGGGCATATAATTCTGTAAATGAATATTACTTCATGGGTGGTAATATATATATATATGTCCAAAGTTAGAAAAAAAGTTTCTTTTAAAAAACTCCTTAATGGAATTATTATATCTTTTTTTTAAATAAAATAAATGAATGACATTCAAATGCACTTAGTACCACTTTATTTCACTTAGTTGGTTTTCATTTCATTGAATACGAGGATGAACTAATTTATCGATTTATTAACCTAATAGCACTGAGATATATAAGTATATGTACGCAATTGTGTACAAAAAGTAAAGCCAACTAAATGAAATAAATTAGATATAGAGGAATGTTTTGAAGTCATCTACGAATTTAGGACATCAAAAGATTTTAATATCCTTCTGTCAGCTACAGAATGACTACTTTGATATCACGGAATATAATATATAGATAGTACTGAAGAGTTTCAGACTAATGGCGAAGGAATGCTGCTAAGTATTCAACGAATCTCAGACTGAGGTCAGGTGGTATTTCCTTGGTCAAGTCAAACGGCAAGATTAAGATTATCTCATTGGATGAAATGTCACGTTTGAATTCAACAATTCTATCTCATGAAATGTGCATCGATAGCATATTGGTAGAATGCTCACCGACGACGCATATAGTCTGAAGGTAAAATCCACCCCCGCCGTTGCACTCCCTTACCTCGCTAAGCCAGTAATGAGACTGGTAAAGGGGAGAGGTTGGGCTTGAGGCTAGCAACCTCTTCCGGTACAAAATACATACCAAAGCTATTGAAACTTAAACCCTCTAGCTTGAAGCTGTATGTTTCATAAAGAATAAAATAGTTAGTTCAATAAAGAGTCCTTTTGCGGGCAAATTCATTTCCTTTGACTGTTTTTTTATTATCGTCGTCATTATTATTATTGGGTTCGGAGTGGAATGTGGGGCCTTAAGAGAGCATCTTGATTTTTTCCTGTTCTCTGCACTCCTATTTAGCTGGCTACACCACTGTCCATAGGCTTTCATCCCCACCTCACATGATCTCCTTCATGTCATCCTTGAAGCAATGCCTAACTCTCTCTTTCCCATTCAGGTTTCCTATGCGTCTCCACTTTCTTCTGAATACTTGTTCAGCAACGGGTTCTCCGTTTCTCGTCTCTCAATCATTTTGTCCATTTGATCTTCAATATGGAGTTCAGGAAACTGTTAACATGCCTCTAGTAGCCTTTTGGAAATGTTTTTAGTGACGTAGAGTTATTTTAGAGTGATAAAAGTCTGTCTTGAACTTCTGATTCTGGTTCTGACATCCTAATCCGTGTATTCTGTCTGCAGTTGAAACGATGCCATTTAGATAAGTAAGGAGGTGACCTATTTCGAATTTCTTCCTTTGATGGTGATTGGTGCTTGTTGTTTTTGGTTGCTTCTATTCATCACCTCCGTCTACTTTATATCCTTTCACTGTGGTACCTCATTCATGTAACTTTTTCACTAAATACTTTAGTAAAATCGTGATGAGTTGTCATGATTATAGTTGTTTATATTGATCAATGCATACGAGGAGCTGAATGAGGGTATTAGAGTTACATAATAAGGTTGATAATTCAATGAATGAGTGGTAATCAAGGGGCGCAATGAAACTTAAGACTTAGAATGAAACGCAGGAGATATAATGAGTTCTTTAAAAAAATTGAGTCAATAGAAATCAACAAGGTTGTTACCATGACAGTAGAAGTGGTTGGATAATTTTCCCTTGTATTTAGAACTCGGCTTTTTCTTCATGAATGACAACAGCATCAGAAATTTAAGCGAGACGAAAGCGTGTTTTCTTTGGCAAGTTTTTCTCACTCCGCAAGTTATTTTGAAGGGGCGTTTATTGAAATAGAATGACTAGTGGTGACGTTATGTTTGATTATCACAATCCATATGCAGGCAATACTGCTTTTCTTAAATAATTTATTTGGGACAGACGGAATATTTTCTATATTTTGGTTTGTAAGGGTTAGTTACGTTTTACGAGTTGATCACCGATTGATATCAGTTAGAGGAACATTGAAAACCAGGGATTACTGACAGATGCTGTCTCATCCTAGTTTGCAAATCATCGGCAGTACGCACCCACTGAGATTCGTGCCCAGGACCTTCCGGTTACAAGACAAGCTGGCTTGTATACCATTCAGTCACTAGGATCGAATTCAATGGCCATGAATTCTAACTTCTACCAATTGGGATTTAGCACGACCCAACCATTGTCGTTGGTGGGACATTCATCCACACACGTGACATCTAATTGGACCTCACCGTTCACGACTTCTCACTAGAATCAAGGAAACTCCATTCTGTAGCAAGTCACTAGCGAGCATCAGATTTATTTTCTATAGTTTGGTTTTTAAGGGTTAGTTATTTGGGTGCGTACTGACGATGATTTCGAAACTAGGATGGAACAGCAGCTGTCCAGTAATCCCTGGTTTTCAATGGTCCCCTAATTGATATCAATCCGTGACCAACTCATATAGACAGAATACACCCGGCTGCACAAGGACAGGTGAAGTTGTCAGATGCAAGACCTACTTTCAGGATTCTGGATGATACTACTCTTATATTTGCTGTAGAGATTGTTCTAAAGTATGATAAAACCCTCCTTTTAAGGACATCTCAGGTTTAGTCTCTTTTGAAGTCAACGTTCTTGTGAAGTTTCATTTTTGTTTCGGTGTTTTTGTCAATGAACCTCACTGGTCATACATTTTGGATGAAGACTTCTTTCAGGTCTAATTCTTCTTCTAGAAATGCTCCGATACTGAGTGAAAAGAGATTTAATGAAATTTCACTTTCGTTCAGAGGCACCAAAATGGAGAAACTTGTTAGTTGACCATTCCATGGGAATTCTTATGGATTGACATTCTAAAATATCAACCCACTTAACAATGCTCCATTATACGACTACTAAGAGTAACGCCTGCCAATGAGATACTTTACTCTAGTCAATATACTAACTGTCGGTCACAGAGATTTCTAAATCATGAAAAGCTTTGGCATTAACCATTCGTGACCTCAAGATGGATCGAACCTTGGGCTTACAGGTTTCAGCCACTGGAAAGAAATCTAATCCCATAAATCATAACTTCTGCCATTTGGGGGTACAGCCAGCTGTGGTTATCAGGGAGTATTTGTCACAATACACAATATGCTAAACCCAACTGGTCACGAATCCCCACAAGAACTTCAGAAAACGTCATCATCTAGTCTATCAATAATCGACATTAGATTAATTTTCAAAACGTTGTCTCACTAAATTCCATTCATGATCAATTTCGGAATAAGTCAAATGACATCAAATTAGCACTCGTTTTAATTTAATATATTTAGAAGATATTTTTAAATATTCTAGAGATTTTTTAATCCTTTGTTGTAACTCTTATTGAGTGGTATTGGTTCATGGTAGAGCTGTATCTTGGACTGACAGTGGTTTGAATTCACACAATGTTGAGTTCTAAGCCGGTTGATGAGTGATTAACAAGTGTTTCTCCCTAATGTTAGACATATCAGTAGTATCCACTCACTGGGAGTCAAAAGGTAGATACTACGGTCAACCAAGGGGCCCAGTAGACCATTCTTTCACTGAGAAACAGCCCCGTGACCTATGAATTTCAATTCTTGATATAAACATAGCTTATAATGGGTTCGTGATCGTTCTCTTGGCCCTTTTATATTCATGAAAACCAACCCTGATAATTAGTCTGATGTCCATCACTCACCGACTGCATACAGGAAGCTAGGTAGAGATCTAGTGAGAGGTCTTAATTAACGGGGTCCGCCAAGTCATATGAGAGAAATTTTAATCGCTTATCACACGGGCTGGTGGTTAATCGGCATAAGTAAAAATTCATGACTGCAAGCTCGCTTGATAAGATGAAACTTCTGGGTTCGAACTCCAATAGTTTAATAAGGTTGAAAATATGTCGTTCCCGGCGAATACAGAAAGAACTTCATGGAATATTACGATAAACCGATCACGCCTTTTATACATACATGCATATACTCTTACTTAAAGGTCATGCCTCTTTTCAATTTTAGGCAAGCAGACGTAGAAGAGAAATGCGACAAAAGGATAAAGACTACCGAGTAAGTTATCATGATATTTTGATTGTCTACACTTTTCATATTTCATTTTGCCGGAATGTACATGACGAATAGGCATTTCATTCTTCGAAGCAATTTTCATCATAAAGAAATCAGTTTTAGTCCTCAGAGTGATAGCGTTTATCTCTTGAAAGGAGTTACTCAAGCCTGGATCAGTTAGGAAGATTCAGCTTTTAGTGGTCATGTTGAGAGGCATATCAGAATGCGAGTTTTTCCTAAATGATTGGTTAGATTGAAATATTATTTTGTTAGGTAATTTGATATAGAACCGTGTCTCCAGAGAGACGGTGACGAGGAGGGCTCCCTAATACAATAAGTTCGAAGATCTCAGTGTAGCATTAAAAATGAGAATCCCAAACTACAGTCGTTTTTCCATACAAGATTTAGGCAAGCAAACAGTTCAGCTGTTGTATAGTAAAATGAACCAGTCATGCTTACAATGTGATCACCAACCTAAGTAACTCATTAGATGGCTCGAGGCAGTCCTGAACCTACGATTGGTGCTTTTAGACACTTATCATCGGGATATATTTTCAAAGATAGAGGAAATGATGCTGTATTCGAGACTAAACCGACCTGAACAAATCGGGAAATCAAAGACATCATTATTACCCTTGGAACTCAAGGGGAACATAGGGCCTCAATAGTACACCTCCACTTTGTTCTATTCTCTGCCGTCTTCTTCATCTGGCCCCATAATTCCGCATAGGCAGTAAATAATGCCACGACATCTTGCAGATTGTCTTTAACGAACACCTAACTAAAAAATGCATTGAAAAAATCCTCGCAGCAAACACATACATTTTTTGGTAACAAAAATGCTCACATTTGTAACGAAAGAATTCAACACAAGAAGGACAGATGAAAAGTGAAGTCCTAATTAAGATTGTGGTGAAAGTTTCCGAATGCTCAGCAAATATAACTTGTTGAACAAAAGACTGAAGAGTTTCGCACTTACCAACTATCTTTAAAAGCAAATAAAACTTTCTTACCAACCTCACACGCAGTTAATATTAAATCCAAAAAATACTAATTCGTACCAATTTAACCAAACGGAAACGTTGTATTCGACCTAGCAGGTGTGTTTTCTTGTTGATGAATACCCAAATCATTGACCAATGTGTTGTCTGATCCTTCTTATAGTCAACGAAACAACTTACTCACATTTGTGATTCGATCGTTAAGAAAAGTGGTTAGCTATCACTATACGCAGTGAATTGATACCAACAGGTCGTAGGCAAGAAATTCCATAAGCAGGTATCTTGCCTACTGGCAGTCACTTCCAAGATATGTATGCATCTTCTGTTAGTCTCGTGTCCCCTCATCTGTCTGCTAAAGTCAATGAAGTTATCAGTGAATGATTTGTATCTATCGACCGTCTAAACTACATTTATTTGTCTAATGCTACCTTTTTACTTCTGTCTTTCTTTTTGCACAATATCCGTTCATTTGCTTCTGCGTTGATTCGATTTCGTTAAAAATATCTTGTCCTTTAGAAAGATCTTTGACTTGAAGGAGTGAGTGGGGTTTCAGATTTCATACTTTCCATCTGACAGTTTTGCTTTTTTCTGGTGAAGTTAGAATTATTATTCCCAATACGTAGGTGGTGCAGTGGTAGAACACCCGCCAACCACGTCTCATGCTGTCTGCGGATCAATCTACGCCAATACACTTCTGAAAATGTGAAATTCTCACTGGTTAGTTGAAAACAGTATAATCTTTTCATCACTGACATGAGTTAAATCTCAGTAGTGAGCTCCTTTGAAACCAGATCACAAGAAATATTCGCCTATCTTAGTCTTTAAAATTAGGCAAATTATGCTGTAAGACTTTTAAAAAGTCGAGCTATAACATATTCTAAAAATTGGTCTCTGGCGTCATCAGTGGATTTTTTTGTTTACACAGTGGGTTTGCTGGCGTCATGTTTAACCTCCCCTCCTTGTCAGGCTCATCACCGGCTAGTGGAGAGAGAGAGTTGATGGTGTGACCCGGTGAGGGACAGTACCCCTCACCTCATCAGGCGTGGTTGGTGAGCACTGTACTGCTCAACCGCTGAACCAATGACGCACTTTTTCTACAAATGAATCACATAAATTGAAAATTCCACCGATTTTGAACACAGGCTATTTCGCACCATTTGTTCAATGTTTCTACTATTCACACATATATATATATATATATACATCCTCGTATTCTGTTTAGATAAACTTTATTTATTTCTATTATGTTAAATTTTATATTATTCTATGAACCTAATCTAATTACATATTTCTTATTCTCTAACACATTTTTCTTGTATTACCGCACGTATTCAATCAAACGTTGTGGTTTGTGGTTTTACTTTTTTTTCTCTTGATAAACACTATAAAATTGTGTTGTTTAAATGTGTCTGCACGTATAACTCCGGGTAAATCAATGTGTTATCGTGTTCAATGTTAAATGTTCAATGTTCAATATGTGTGCGTGTGTTTATTTTTCCTTTTCGTTCGAATTTCTGTGTCTATATTCGTGTGTGTGTGTGTGTGTGTGTGTGGTATGGACTTGCACTGATCATTTAATTATTTTGACCTACTGATATCTATATTCATGTTGGGCAACATTAATCTACTCTGTAAATTATATGTACGTGAAATACTTAAATGTATAAATCCGCCCTATCTATCTGTGTACATATATTATACACATATATACATATGTATATTCCCATCTGGTTATTTATATGTACAACATATAAGGCATTTTTACAACGTAATCGGCAATGGCAATCATCAGAGAAACAGAAAGAAGTGGTGCATGCAACCTCACGACATTCATCATTTTCTGTTCAAACTGCATGTTAATTAGCTAGACAGAACAGAAGACAATTAATAATACTAACAATTCGCCTTATATAAATAAATATCTGGCGAATGTATTTCTATAATAGAATTGAAATGATATTTAATATTTAATTAAAAAAATCTTCGTGGATTCCTAAAATAAATAAATAAAAAAACAACAAAATAAGAAAACAGGTCAATCGTCAGTTTTAGCATTGCTTAAAATTATTTGCACTAATATGGAAGAAATTATACATTTATGTTAAAAGTAACATTAATAGTGAACTAATTTTAGTGTTTCACTGCTGGTTGACTATAACGGAAGATGGATGGTATTAGGAGACCGAAACCGTTTCACTGAATAGCCACTCAGTGAAATGTTTACAGTCAGTGTTTACAAATAATGACTCCGAGTAATAAGCACCTTATGAATACAATAAACTTAATGAAAGTTAGCTAGGAAGGCAACAGGGTCAGAGGGAATTTCTCCGGAAACAATGAAAATGGTAACAGAGAACGCAGTGGATATTATTACACCACTAATGAAGAAAGTTTAAAAGGAAGGAAAAGTACTAACTGTTTAGAAGTGAAGCCTCGATGGAGGGATATGTAGGCCATTACAGCAGCTGTTTTGAAATCGTGATTTTGTTCACGTAAAGGAAAATACTAAGTCACACTATCCTAGAGGACTCGTCGTTGGCATAGTTGTATAATGCAGGTTGATCAAGCATGTGTTCCAAGGTTTGATCCCCGACAGACACACTCCTTTACTTCGTTAAGCCAGTAATAGGACTGTTAATAAGGGTAGTTTGGGCATGAAGCTAGCAACTCCGGTAAAAATAAACACTACTGCTGCAGAAACTTCAAGCCTCCAGCTTGAAGTCCAGTGTTCCACTAGGAACGTAAAGAAATTTTTTTAAAATCCTAGAGGGACCAAAAGATACACTCGATACAGAACTCCACCCGTCAGAACAAGCTAAATTTCAGAAAAGCGGATTATGTGCGGGTCGAATCTCAACGCTAAGCATCATCATCGAACAGAGAAAAGATCGATACTCAGATCTCTATCTGAACTTCACCAACTTTGAAAAGGCCTCAACAGCGTTTATCAGGAAGTAAATTGGAAACCACTTCAGCTCTTTAGAGCACAGTACTCCATATCTTTATCAAACTTATTCAACAGCAAAGCCTTCGAGGTGAAGATGGGAGTTACACAATTCTGCCTGACATTACCGATGATATTGATAATTGTGGTGGATGGATTATGTATCGGACTGCGGTGAACGAGAAGACAGGAATTCATTCGACAGAGAGGAAAACTCTGAAAGATTTGAACTTTGCGGATGATTCTTGCCTATTGTCATGTAAACTCAAAGGTCTACCGGCGGCCACCAACAAGCTGGCAGGAGAGACTGGCTGTAAATACATGACGTCTAGTGGACATAACGGAAATGGAGGTAATGATGATACTAACCAGCAACAAAAGTCAACAATCACCATCAACAGAAGAAATTTGAAAAAGTAACTTCTTCCACTTGTCTAGGCAGAATCGTTTCAACTAAAGTTGGCAGGTTGTCAAAACAGTAGGCACCAGAGAGACAAGACAGACTATCATCAATCTGGATTCACTTTGAAACTCCTCTGCCCTACACAGCATAAACAACAAGATCCAGATTTTAACACAAATGTCATATTTATCAGTTCTTCTATACCAGTTGGAAACTCAGCCAGGGGGTCATCAAAAGCATTTTCAACAGGCCACTTCAGACTTATACCAACAACTGCCTCCGCTGATGATCAGATGGCCAGCCAGAAATAAGTAACAAGTATGACCTGTAGGAATAGACCCATGGAGAACCTATTGCTCAAAAAATATTCAGAAGGAGCTGGAATGGACACACATTGAGGAGACCGTCGGATGACATCGAGCGTCATTCCATCGTTCGAGACGAATATGAATAGGGAAGAGCGATATGGGTATCCTATGTTGATATGGAGACGGTCTTGTGAGGAGAAGATTAAAGCTTATAGAAAATCATGGGGTCAGCTAAATAGGACTGAAGAGAAAATGACAACTTAAAGATTTTGTGTTTTTCTTATTTTCTTGCCTTATTTCCCACTTAGAACCACGGAATTGCTGTCTACATGACAACCGGTTTTTTC